TGTGGTCGGGTCTCAAATTTCCGCCCAAACATACAATTTCCTCTCAACATTAAATTTAATTAATTTTTTTTTTATATATGAGTAATACCATTTTATTTTGTATTTTTATATGTTTCTTTTAACATCGCTTTATTTATTTTTTATTGAACAATTTAGTCACTCTTCAATTTGTTCATTATTTTTAAAATGCTTTCGGGTTTTTTTATGTTTTTTTTTTTTTTTATTATAAATACATATTGACTATACGAATACATTTAATTAACATGGAACTATGTATGTATGTGATAACCACAACTTACATAAATATGTTATACAAATTTAAAATATAAATTAAAAAAAAATAATAAAAAGTCAAATTAACTAATTAATACACATTATTTCAATCACGCTTTCAAGCATAATCAACAACGCATCGATTAATCGATATTAACTACAAACGAGTTTGTATTGTCGCATACCATAGTATTAATAATAATTTTTAACAATTTCCTTTTTATAGAAATTTATTTTTTACAATTATTAAAAGTATATATGTATGTATGTATGTGTGTATAGATTTTTTAACATTTAATTATGTAATGTTTGAATGGTTTGGCAGAAGAAGAGGTATAAACCATGACTTGAGTACCCTGCAAGAACGACTTCCGGCAGCACTAACACATATGCACATATTTTTTTTTATCTTTATCTGCTAAGTACTTATAAATTGAAGAAGAATGCAGTTCTCTTCTTCTTCATACTTTCGAGAAGAACGATATTTTTTATCGTTTTCTCCGTAGTAGATACATAGAAGTGAAAAATACATGATGAGGATGCTGTACAGGATATGGTAATAATATATTTTGGATTAATTAAGTACTTTATTTTTCAAAGTTTTTTTTTACATTTTTTTTGTGTATTTAAGGGCTCTCCACATCATACGGAAAGAACAGCTAATGGAGCAGTTTGACTGGAATCGACGCTTCTCATCATCATCCGCTGCAGTAACAGATTTGAATAAATTAAAATATTCGATAAAATTTCGTGATGTACAACTGCATTTAGACACTAACAACATTAGGGTTCGAACCTTATTTTCTATTTTACTTAGACGTCTTTATACTTCAAAGAAGCAGCGCTACAGACGGAGGCGTTCGTGGCGCTAAGGAGCTGCGTCACCAACGCATGGCACTATTAAGGTCTTCTGTATATACGGCTTTGCTTACAAGATTTTGCAGATTTTTGAAAATCAATGTACTGCCGTATTATTATTTTTTTGTATGCTATATAAATAAATATGTAAATATAATATATAATATAAACCATAAAAATATTGGCATAAAGACAGAATCTTCATAATGTTTGCATGTATGCGAAATATGTAGGGAAAATGTTTGTCAAAGCTGATTTCTTTTGGCATCAATGCTGCCGCTCATCTGTGTACGAACGCACGAGGAAACGGAGAGAGAATGACGTACACGTATACAAATGTAAACATCACATTTGCCATTTCGGCATTAGGAAAGTGATGGGAAAATCGTTCTGCGAGATGTCGGATTATGACATCATGCATTCCTGACATATGTTGGCTCAAATGAACGGAAGCCTTCTTGCAGGGTAAATAAAAAAAATTTCTGTTCTTTAAGTTTCGTGGATTATTATTATTTTGTTATTAAATGCTTAGTTAAAAAATAAAAATTCTTTAATTTAGGTATACGCACATAGACAGTTGGTGAAGTTGAGAGTTTTTTTTTTATACAAATAGTTATTATTTAATTAAAGTACATTCAACCATTTTACATAGTAAAAAAAAATAATATTTATTTGAATTTTATTATATTTTAGTATAGCGAAGGCGTACAAAAGTCAACGACTCAGTTAGCAAAAAAAAAATAGATTTTTATTTCTTTGAGTTCTATTGTCGAAATTTGTTATTACTTAGAGTTAAAATCGTGAAAGCGAGCAATGCAACGAGTCTTACGCTAAACCTCCAGACAACCCTTTTCTGGCTGTACTTGGTATGGCGCTTAATCCACAAAAGTTAAATTAGTTCAAAGGTTTGAAGTCGCCTCCAAGGGAACAAGTCCAATACGCTTGAAAGTCAAGACATCAACTTTTAACAGACATTTCAGATTCTAGCAGAGAACTTGTAATAACGAGAAGGTGCAATTGATATCTGGGTCGATGCTCGATTGAAGTTTGTACAGATTTCAAAAATCTCGGAAAAGGGATGCACCGCTATTATTACAAATTGTCTGCACCGGCTTACTGGCCAGAATTAGAAAAGCCTCTTAAAATTAAGAAAGTGAATGGATTTTAAAGAGCATGCGGGAGTCATTAGGTGATGCCCGACTCATGGATATTAGAATCAAATGTGAAAGATTAAAAGAGCTCTTGTTAAGGTTGAGCTTACCACATTAGTCTAGCCGATCTAAAAAGAATCATTAGTCTTTTTCCCAAATTCGTTATGGAACACTTGGAACTAAACTATGAGAGGCTGGCAACCAATTCTACCTTCCAAAGAGTAGATAAAGATTTGTACTAACTACCACTGTACACAATTTGTGGCCAGACAGTCGAAAGCTATGCTGCATCGATCTGGGCACCGGGCACGAACGAGACGCAGATGAAGAAGCTATAGGTTTGCCAGAACACCGCCCTCAGGAATGCTACAGGAAACCGGAGCCGGGGCCTCACTTGCGCAATGAACCATCATGCTACGAGTTAAGGAGCATAAAGCTTTGCTGTGCAATCAGTTCCTATATTGCCTAACCTCCACCTAGGCAAATCAGAAAGGGAGTACTCGACTTATAAAATACCATCCAGCAATATGTACAACAACTGCTGGCAGGACAGCGTACAGACAGACACTGAACGGGAGTCAGTCAACACCTTCAAAGACTCCCTTCCAGTGAATGGCGTGCTCAGAGTAAAATCACCACCCATTACAGATAACGAGCTCGAGCTGCCTTAAGAAACCCACGTCACCTTGGCAAAACTTAGGTCTGGATATTGTAGCAGGTTAAAGTCTTACTTATCCAAACACGACCCCAGCATAACCAACATATGCCCTGCATGTGGAGAGTCTCCGCACGACACTAAACACCTCTTCACATGCCTCCTTAAACCGACTCATCTAACTCGCTTCACCCTTTGATCCAATCCCGTCGAAACAGCTCGTTTCCTGGACCTCCCACTAGATGACCTCGCCTAAGCGGTGCTAGCGAACCGCTACAACAACAACAACAACAACAATTTGTGGTCCTAACCTCCATACTTTTTCCCGTTGGGTTTGCTAGCTATGATTATCTCGAGTTATTTGACTTTGGTTGATAGGGTGATCTCCATACTCTTTAGTAGTAGTTTTTGCTGGGCTTGCACCAATTCTCTACTATTCATATGATATCCTGGGGCAGATCGCTGAGAGTTTGTGGATATTTACCTGTAGACCTGTACCATAGATCACAGGCACCTGAAACTTGGAGGATGTGTTCTTGGGTGTGTCATTGGTGCCCAATAAGAAATGGTTTTCTGGGATATGTACCTGAGACCGACCTATTCGAAAAGAGTCTAATTTATTTTAAATCGTTAGGTTTTCATGAAATTTAATAAATTTGTAATTATTCGGCTTAACTGACATAGAAAACAAAATTTCTTCCAGGAAGTGGACCAGGGACCGATCTATCAGCGTTTTATTTGCATAAAATTTGATACAGAGTTAGTTTTGGGGCATAATTAATATGGGGAACACTTTTTTTCCGCAAAGTGGGTCTGTAATGGATACGATGATTCGATTTTGCTTAATATTTATGTGGAACATAGATACCATTGCATGGAAAAAAATTCTTTCGGGACCGATCTAAGTGAAAGACTCATATTTATGGTTCGATTTCCTTGAAATCGGAAACCTGGGCAAACCCAGGCTAATAGCTATTCTGTGCTTCAAGTTATGAATCATCTCCGCTTGACCTTTCGCTGAGTATTTGACGCATCGGAATGTCAACGAAGATGTCAAAATGCATATTAACCGTTGTTCAAAGAGGGAACGGTAGATGGTCCACCATATATTTATACTTTCAATAACTTTTATGAAGTTCAATTAAAGCTCTCACAAGGTTTGATCCGGTGGCTGCAATAGCCGGGTAAGTCTTGCGCACTACCATTCGGAAGGCCAGGGTTTGAGTGCTGATGCGACCAACAGTCAAAATTATGGGAAATTTAATTTTTTGCGGCCGCTCCACGACAGGGAATAGGAAGCTCCTCTAGTGTATTTTTGACGTGAAATAAAGAGCTCAGCATAAAAAACCATCAGCTGTTCGGAGGCGTCATAGTATAGGTCCCCCCATTTGTTGGAAAACCCTCAAGATGAGTCTAATTAATTAAGAACCAGGTTTCAATGAAGATTTCTATAAGGTTCGAAGTTTGGTAAGGAATTTTATTGAAAAGGTTTTGGACATTTCGCAGAGTAGAAATGCACTGCTTCGGGTTTGAGTTGAATTTTTTTTTTCTGAATAGAACTCTAAATTTTTCTTTTGCTGAAACTATCGAAAATATTTTTGTTTTCTCGTAATGTTTGCAACATTCAAAATTTCTTAAATTTTTAATATATTTATTTGTGTCTTAAAATCGTTTATTACTCATAATTTATTTTTGTGTAATATTTTCTCTTTTGGGTTCTCCACGAGATTTTCAATTGAGCAAAATCAATTTTCGATTGAATTTTTTCGTTTCAGTTACGTGCAACTCATTTCTTTATATATGTATGTATGTATTTATGCATATATTTTAACCTTAAAAGACCCTATGATTTGCTACATTAAACCACCTCAAAATATGTGTGTATGTATGTTGTTGTCTTTGTTTTAAATTATTATTCTTAAATAATTATTTAATGCATTCTTTGAATTTTCTTCAGCATACACATTTTATAACTAATTTGCTTTGCTCTTATAATTTTTTTTTTACTAAATTCATATATTGTTGTTATTATTTTATTTTTATTTTATTTATTCATTTTGTTTTTTTTCAAATTCAAACCTCAATTTCGTAATTTAAATTCTTTGTCGTCTTTAAAATCTCGACCAACTGCAACAAAGTACACCACATTTCAACTAACCTCATTTTTTCACCATGCCCCATGAATCAATTACACCACCGCAGCAGTGCGTAACTGCACTTTCCCCTAATCCGTGGAAGCATAATAAACGATCGTCGATTTACGCCGAAAGCCCAAATTGAAAAATGAAGTTTCAGATTTTTTACGCTCGCGCTCATGCTCACCGCCGAAGTAGGGAAACAATCGTCCGCCAACGCCGCCGCTACCACTGCCAATTGGTGGTGCACGTGTTGTTGAACTGCTACTTGAATGTGCGCCCGATGAGGTGGAATAACCGGCATTTTGTTGTTGATATACTTGGTGTTGTTGCTGCTGGTGATGTGGATGTTGATTGAGTAGAAATCCAGTAGGCGACATATCAGTCATCTCACACGGCCAGATGGTGACCGAAGATGGGACCTTATGTATCCCGTCCGATAATCGATAATGGTGGGATGCTGACCGGCTAACGATCCGTGGCGAGGACCTCGACCCCATCTAGTACATATGTATGTAGTATTTGCGCGTTTGGATTTCAGTTTCATTGTTGAATTTTTTTTTTTGTTTTTTTTTTTGTTTTAGGAAAAATAAAAAAGAAATTTTATTAGTTTAATGGCATATGCAGATTAAAGTAGGGAAGTATATGTAAGTAACATCTCTACTTCAATTTAGTTATTTACATTACTATGAATGTGTGTGTGTAATTCTTGCTGATATTGATCGATTTAAGTCGGCATTACAAGATTCGTTCGCGCTTAATGTGGATTGAAATTTTTGCTTTTCGTTCGATATGAAGGCGATGAACTCAACACTCAAGTACAATGATTGTTAGTGCTTCTGTTAAGAGCTGGAATTGCCTAGGTGAGTCGAAGCAGGTGCAAGATGAAGCCCAATAGTGAGTTCTCCATTGTTACCAGTTTCAACGATCAACTACATATCTTAGTGGTCTACAAGCTGAAGTTGGAATTTGGAAGGCGATAAGATACGGAACTTTTTTCTTGGCGACTGACACCCAGAGAATTTTGAAATGGAATCAACTTCGCGCTAGCACTGCCTTTTCTATACTGAGTATAACATCTTTGGACCTTCCGACTGGTAGAAGTGCTAAGTTATTTAGCCAAACGTGGTACGACATGCCTGACCTAAGTGCCTACTAAAATCCAGTAGTTCTCGTGGCAAGCGGATCTTTATACCAGAACGACACTGACTTTTATATGAGCGAGTATTGTCACTCCCGCAATACTAACCGAAAACCAATTTGAGGAATATTTTTGCGATTACGTGCGACTCGGAAAAAAAGTGTCAAAGGGCGGTACTTCCCTCTGAACGCATTTCTGGGGTTATTTTCCCCCCGAATTCGGTCTGTCTCTTTGTGTACATTTTGGCGTTGAAAACAAACCACCAGTAAAATCCATAATCAGCTCGTGAGCGGTCTAAAATTGTGCCTATCATCACTTGTAGAATAGAATATAAAATCAAGACCACATTTGTGGGAAAGGACGAAGCATTCGGACCTCAATCTCAGGAGGGACAACTTCAAACAAATATCAAATTATCCAACCTGGTTAAGTTAGGCAACTAAAAAACAGACGATCAATTTCAGCAAATTTCAATTTTCTCTAACAATTGCGGCTACTAAATTAGGGTGAGTTTACATAACAGCGGGTTTACACAATGCCGTTTACTTTTAGGCTTTTGCAAAATATTTATTTCAAGCAATACCAAATTTGGTTTATTACAAGAACAAATAAGAATAGTTAAGTGTAGATTTAACGACAGAGAGATTCACTTTCCTGCAAGTGTACTCTCTGTAGAGAAAAATCCGAAGGTACAGATTATGCTAGCTACACATTATAAGCACGCTTAGTGTAGAGAGAGACAACTCTCACTCATTTCAACTAGCCAAGAGCTCTCACTCTTTCGTCGGCCTAAGCTCATTTAGTATAACAGGTAACATTAGGGAGTGAGAGAGAGAGAGAAAGGGAGATCATTACCGCTTACGTTAATCGTTTATGTAAACTCACCCTTAAGAGATATAAATGTAAGTGATTAATTACAATTTTTTTCAGCTAAGTATTTTATTATTCGTTTCTTTTTCAACTATTTTACAAATATACATACATACATATGTATGTTTGCAACTGTTTCAATGATTTTTCTGCACTATATACGAGTATGTACATATGTATGTATGCAATATAAATGCCACTAGTTAGTCGAATTTTTACTGATTTACTGATGAGAAGTTGAAGTTGTAACAAAAATGTATATAATCATAATGGAATTACAAGAAATAAATAATAATAATAATTATAATAATAATATAAATAAAAAATATAGAAAGAGAGCCTCGAAAAGCGTGTTAAGACAGTCGAGCGTGAGAAAGAGCAAGAGAATAAGTGTGTGTGTGTGAGAGAGAGAGGGAGATATACACTGAGGCGAACTTTCGAAATTTAAAACAAGTTATACAAAAGGATTGCATAAGCCAAAAAAAAAATGCTCAGGAATTACGACTTATGTTTATTACATTAAACGGTGTCACGAGAAAGCGCTGTAAAGCCTGCCGAAAAAGTGAGGTTAAAATATTTTACAAAGGCTACGAGCGTGTAGATTTCAAATATTTAACTATATAAGTGAATTTTAAAAATATTTATAATTTTTTAAAATATATTTATTTTGTTTTTACATGCACTTGTATTAATCACAGTACGCAATAAGTTAATATATAATTATTAAATATATATTTATTGGTTATTAATATGGACAAAAAATAATTTATGCAGCAAGTATGTAGTTATATAGCGTTAGGCACTAGAGAAGCGGTGAATTTGCAGGCGTGAAAAATTCGAAAATTTATAAAAAAAAATTTCTTTTCTCTTTACCTTCTATTCAACTATTTACAAACAAACGATTAATGAGTGAAAGTAAGTAATAGAGAAGAAGCGGCCAATTACAGAGCGAGAGAGAGCGAGAGAGAGAGAGTGAGACGTGCAACCAGTCTAGTAGTTGAATATATTTAGTTACTTGGCATTAAGTAAGCGCGCGTTTAAAGCATGTTTCGAGAGAGCTAGAGCGAGAGAGAGAGAATGCGACTCGAGTATTGTTCGTTGTGTTTGTTGTAACGTGTAATGGTGTTGTATAGTGTTTACATTTAAATTCCTATAATTTGACGTGATTTTCTTTAAACTTTCATTTTTCGATTTTTGGATTTTTCGATTTTTACTCGGCAAAGGCATTAAAATTGACGGTATAGTATTTTTGATTTAAGTTGCAATCGTACGCGTGTATTTGGTGGTATCTGTGAATTACGAAGTAGAAAAAAATAGAGATTTTTCGCCTTAAATGTACAATAATAAAAACAAAAGCAAATAATAGTAAATATATATTAAGGAAAATTATTTATTATAAAAAGAAATTATATGTAAACGCAATTTCTGCATAACCCAGCAGCAAATCAGGTCGATTTGTACAAAAATAATAGACAAAAAATCTTCATTGGCATTGAAGTTTTGTTAACTTAAATATTTATGAATTTACGTTGACATTGCGTAGGCGGCATACGGCATACGGGTGTACATTTTTAATTTTTTTGTTTGTTTTTTTTTTTTTGACACTTGTCTACTTACCAAAGCAGCAGGAAGCGGCTATGTTTACGTTTAACACACGCGTATACTCGTATGTGTCTCTGTGTGTACAAAAAAAGCTTTCACCTTTGCGTTTTACAACAGTGAAGCTTTCATTTACAAAAATTCGTTTTTATATTTATTTATTTTCGTTCTATACTTTTCTATTACATATTGTACATCGTTCATCGTTTTTGTGCAGTTAGGTGAGTTGTTTTATTTTTTAGTATTTGCGCGTGGTGAGTTCTGTGCAATTGTGCTGTGCGCTCATTTGACATTTTTGTTAGTTTTTTTTTTTAACTTTAACTTGTTATATTTGACTTTTGACAATTGACTTGTGACATTGTGTGCGGCGTATGAGCGCCTATCTTGTGGTGGGCGATGCAACCACAACATCTCTTCTACAAAACGCTGGGCGACTGCAGTTACGTGATTACGTGTTTAGTTTTTATATATATTATTATTAAAATTATTATAAATATTTTTTTTTTGTAAGCATTTTATTCAATTGTTTTATAATAGTTAGTGATTTTTTTTCATATTAAGCAATTTATATATTTATGTAGTTGAGAGAAAAAATTTTGAAAAGGAAAATGAGAGAGTGAAATTTGAGTAGAAACGATAGTGGTGTTTTATATAATATAACTAAATATATATGTGGATATATTTTTTTAAAATTTCTTCGCAAATTCTAATGTAGTGTACTCAATGTTTACATTTGTAAATCAAAAACTTGGGTGCTTGTGTGTAACAAAAACAAAGGAAAAAAATCAAAAACTATTAAATGAACTCAGTAAATATTTACTTTACATTTAACTACATTTTAAGAAGCAAAGAGAAATATGTTTGATTTTTTTTTTTAATTTTTTTTTTTTTTTTTTTTTTGTAAAAGCATAAAAATAAAATATGTGGGCTTAGAGTGTCATTGTAGCGTAAAATCAGATTTCACAAATGCTCATTTGAAAGCTATTTTTGAGCTTTGGTATTACACTCAATTTGAGTGTTTTTAATATATTGTTTCCTCAAATTTATTTTAAGGTCTCCAAGTGGTTAGCAGTTTTGGTCTCTCAATTCAATTTGTTTTTTTTTTTTTTTTATTATTATTATTTTCTATTTTGGATTAATTGGAACTTCTAGGAGCTGTGAATTCTGTCAAAAAAGTTCCGGAAATTGGTTTATTTATTATGCCCTCAAATTTATTGTTTCTCAAAATCTTAGGGAGGCTACCCCCAAGTGATTAGCAGTTTTGGTTTCGGTATGTTCTGCGCCTTAGTGTTGGTCTTTTCTTGGTTTTGTTCATAGCCTCGTTCTTGGTCCCGGTTTTAATTTGTTTTTGGCCTTGCTCTTGGTTTTAGTCTATGCTTTGATTTTGGTCGTGCCTTACTCTATCTCTTCGTTTTAGTTTTGGTGTTGATCATTGCCTTAGTACTGGTTCTGGATTTGATCTCGTGTTTGGTCTTCTAACTTCTATTCCCTTACCGACCACAAATGAAGGAATTGAGCTAGCTCTATTAGACCCTATGTTAGATTTTAATGTTCTTCTTTGAAATCTTCTTCGAATGCGTAGAATGCATAATTCGGAAGGACTTTGTCTTCAGGGACCGAAAAATTGGCGTTAAAAATTTATAATGGAGGTTATTCTCGAAGCCCATACAACTCCTTATTTGATATCTAACATTATGTCGGCGGCAGCAGTTGTCCAGTGGTTGGCATTGCGTGCTAACAGAGCTCGAATCCTGGTCCAACATCCAAAACTAAAAAAAAAAATTGTTTTTCTTTATAATTGCGGTCGCCCTTGGGCATCTAACATCGAATAAAAGCTCCTCATAAAAGTCCAACCACCGTTCGGAGACGGCTTAGAATAAACTGTATATC